GTGTGTGTGTGTGTGTGTGTGTGTGTGTGTGTGTGTGTGTGTATGTGTGTGTGTTTTCCAGACAAATTGGCAAAGATTTTTTAAAAAAATAAATGCTGATACCAAATGCATATTATTATTCTTTTCAAGGGCGTGTCCAATAGGAGCTCTCATATCCTGCTGATGGGAGTGGAAGCCTTTTTTGAGGGGAATTTGGCAGTTTGGATCCCAAGTTAAAACATGTAGACCCCAAACCTAACTACCACGTCTGTCTTGAGAAATTTACTGTACAGCCGTCATCAGAGCAGAGTAAAAAGTCGTGAGTGCAAAGGTGGTTCTCGGTGTGTTGTTTATAATAGTGAAAAACTGGAAGCAACCCAGCCACCCAACCCGGGGAGGCCCTGAGTGTAAATGCACCCACTGCAGATCCAGGCAGCCCCATCACACGCGTCCGGACAGAGGTGGACTAGACAGGCTTTCAAAATCATGAAGAACATTGTCTGACACAAAAAAATGCTCACCATTATGAGGCCCGAGGCCACGAGCCCGAGATGCACACGTGTGATCCGTGTCTGCAGAACTGAACAGCTCCACAGCTGAGCAAATGTTCATTCAAGTCTGCGAGGACGGCCCCCCGTGTTAGCAGCCGTCGGTGGAAATTGGAGTGCAGTTTTTTCCTTTCTGCTTTTGTTTTTCAAATGTCTGGCATGAAGCACGTCTTTCCTTAGAAATTACATAAAATGCCATTTAAAACAAGCTTAGCCCAAAAGCAGGGCAAATTATGTGACAGGGTGAGCAAGATCGGGCGGATCTAAGCTGGAATTATGTTGGCGTTAGAGACCTAAGGGGGAAGGCAGGCAGCGCGCTTCCCGGGGTGGCATGAGGAGGGCTGTGGGGGCTGTGCCAATGCCTGGGGAGCCCATGGCCCTCTTGCCTAAGCCAGGCTGGTGGAGGTGACAGTGGGCGTGGAAGTGACAGCTGAGACCAGTACATGGAGGGTGAGCAGGTTGCAGGCAGATGAGGAGGGGGCTTGGGAGAAGGTCTTCAGAGGCGAGGAAAGCCATAGGGGGGGCAGGCAGAGGGTCCTCACACAGGGAACACTAGACGGAAACAATTTGGCTGGAGCTTAAGAGCGAGAAGTGGAAGCGGAATCGGCGTATCGAGAGCCCTCGAGGCCACGGGAAATGATTTCGATTTTATACAGAGGAAAACCTGGGAGCCATGGAAAGACTTCAGTAGATAAAGGGCATCGTCAGATGCTTAGAGCTCCTGTTCTGAGAACAGCCTAGGAGCAAGCTGTTTGTTTAAACGAGGCAGTGGCCCGCAGGCCCCGAGTTTGACATGCTTGGCCTAGAGGGCTCAGCTCAGGAGACAGAGGGGCTGAGGTCTGGCAGCCCAGAGAGCAGTGAATGGATTTGGAGGACTTGCCTCTGGGTCCCAGTGCGGACCCCAAAGTTGAAGCTGATGTCATGGATTTGGCTGTGAGGAGTGAACAGGGAAAGGGTGCTGAACCCTGAGGAGCAGGGAGGGAGGGACCAGCAGAGGGGAGGAGGATGGGCGGAAGGAAGGCTGCAGTCCCCGTGCGGCAGGTGGCTTGCGGCTGCCACCTTCTCCCTGTGCCTCACTTGGTCTCTCCTCTGTGTGTGTGCCCTGGTGTCTGGCTCCGTGGGCACACTTCCTCTTCCCAGGACACCAGTCAGATTGGATGAGGACTCACCCTCACAGCCTCATTCAAGGCCCTAACCACCTCTTTCAAGGCCCCATCTCCAAACACGTCATATTCTGAGGTCCCGGGGTCAGTTAGGGTAGCAGGTGAATGGGGGAGGCACAATACAGCCCTTAGCAAGCGGATTTGGGCACAAGGAGCTGCCAGGTGCCCTCCCCACCCTGAGTGTGTATGGCGGGGCCGGGTGCCGAGGGAAATGAAGTCTCCCCGTGGTTCAGGCCCTGCAAGGTGGTCCATGAACGTGTGTGGGGGAAACGGGGGAGCCTAGGAGAAGCTCTGCGGTGGAGGAGGGGGCTTGGGGGCAGTCTCTGGCCCCCAGGTGCCCCTTCCTGACGCTCTCCCTGCCCCCTCCACAGCCTGCAGCTGCAACCTGCACGCCCGGCGCTGCCGCTTCAACATGGAGCTCTACAAGCTGTCGGGACGCAAGAGCGGGGGCGTCTGCCTCAACTGCCGCCACAACACGGCCGGCCGCCACTGCCACTACTGCAAGGAGGGCTACTACCGCGACATGGGCAAGCCCATCACCCACCGGAAGGCCTGCAAAGGTAGGCGGCGGGGGCGGGCCTCGGGCACCCCTGCCCCCTCTCTTTCCTCGCTGCTTCTCCTTTCCTGTTGCTTTTGTCCATGATCATACACGCACCTGCCCGCACGCACTCAGGGCCTCCCTGGCATTCGGAGGTGTAGGCCCAAACAAAGGGGCGATGCAGCAATGACTGGGAGGAGAAGAAAGGAGGTGTGATCTCTGCGAGGGTGCAGGTCGCCCCGCCCCCTCCCAGCTGCTTGTCCCTCGCACAGGTGTGCCGCATACCACAGGGCGGGGGTCAGGTTCACCCGGCTTACCATCGCACAAAGGGCTCTATTTTACCAAAACCCGGCAGACGGATTTCTTTGGATGTCGCATGCACCTCCTGCCCCACCCCCAGCTCGCACAGACAGACAGCGCGGCTTCAGGGGCAGGGTCGCAGAAGGAGCATTTAATCCACCTGCAAGTAGCTTTACTGCTCAGGACAAAGTACGACAGGGAGATGGAGACTATTTTCGTTCACTGAAGCAAGCACTGATGTTTTAACGTTGCGTGTTTGTTTTCTCCCACGAACACAAACGAAGCAATGGTGAGATGGCTCAGAAGAGCCGATGAAACGCCAGGGAACTTCCTGATACTGGGGGAGAAGTGAGCCCCACCCCACATTAGCTTCTGGGAATTCCAGGAATCGGGGCTTTATGGGTCCAGAATTTGGAGGCTGGAACCAGGGCTTGCTGTGAGCATGGCTTCCCAAGATGATATCTCTTAGGGCTCTTGGGGAACACTTGAGAGACCCCAGCCATGGCAGACTCGGGCCCACGTGATGAGCTGCAGCAGAGAAATCCTTCCGTGGCCACTGCTTAGCCTTTGAATGAAGCCAGAGCATCATCTTCTCAACAGGAAACCCACCAGATGTCGGGCACTGGTGCACAGGACAACCGCACGACCTGCAGGCTCCAGTGCAAAATGAAAACACAGGGCTTTGTGCCCAGCCGGCGGGGCTCCGTGCTTGAGCGTCTACCTATGAACCAGGAGGTCACGGTTCACTTCCCGGTCAGGGCACATGCCCGGGTTTCGGGCTCCATCCCCTGTAGGGGGTGTGCAGGAGGCAGCCGATCAATGATTCTCTCTCATTATTGATGTTTCTATCTCTCCCTCTCCTTTCCTCTCTGCAATCAGTAATACACACACACACACACACACACAAAAGAAAGAAAATACAGGGCTTCTTGTTCAGGAATTGCTAAGGATTTCAAAATGGCAACAGCAGAGCTTCAATCAAGCATGTGACCTTATGAGCATGTGCCCGTGACGCTGGCCTTGCTTGTTTGAAACGCTTTTCTCAAAAAAACGAACAAAAAAAAAACATACGCAAAAAAACCCCACAAGCCAACCAAAACAAAGCAGGTTCCCAGTCTGCGTCTTCCGAGAGAAATCCCTTCGATTCCAAATAACAGGTGGCTCCAAGCGAGCTCTCCTTTCCTATCTGTGGACTTAAGGCTGCCTCTGGTGGTTGTCAAGAGAAACTTAAGCATAAAGGTAGTTGGGCTGCTATTTCCACATCAAACAACAACTCATCCAGGTGAGAACCCCCCCAGGAGACTTGAGCAGGGACGAAGAAATCGAAGAAATCGGCCTGGGCAAAGGGACTCAAAAAAGGCCTGCAGTGGCAGGAAGGCATGAGCAGGACATGACCAGCGAGTGAGGGCTTTGGGTTGTCAGAGAACATCATTGGAAGGTAATCCAACTCCTTCACCTATGCCCAAGTGTTCATTGTATTTCCCTGACAGAAGAAAGTGAAGCCAAGGTCTTATAAACCGCTGCTTGCACACAGATATCTTGGGGATTTGGCCAACAAATTTTGATCAAAAGTGGCCACTCAACTGGATGAATGGAGAAATCTGCCGGTGGGTGAGGTCTGGGCTCTCCCTGTCCGTTTCTGCTGTCAGAGCAGGGAAGGTGTGTCCCCTGGAGAGACAGGAAGAAGCATCTTGGCCGTCCTGCCGTTTGCCTCCCCCTCCTCTGCTCCGTTGCTGTGGGACAAGGCCCACGTGTGGCCTCTTGCCGCTTCGAGTGAGATGTCAAGAAGCCACAGGATTCTGGAACCTGCAGGTCATCCTCTGGGGCTCTGCCACCTGGTTAAATGGTGTGTAGGCACCCAGCTCCCAGGAGGAACAAGTGCAGGCAGGCAAGGGTGTGGCCCTGTCTTATTTAAAACGCTGTGGCCAGCCGCAGTGGCTGTGTCTTCCCTCTCAGCCCTGGACAGCAGCTGCCCCTGTCTTGGTAGGAGCACAGGGAGAAGAACCCACAGAAGGAGGCGGAACGTATGGATGGATTCTGCTCAGAAGGATTCCTGCATATCCTGCTGGGAAAAGTGACAGGAAAGGGCGGGACTCTCAGTGTGTCCTGATTGGTGAGGAAAAGCAATGCTTCCAGGATCCTGCCACCTGATTGGTGAAGGAAAACGCTACGTGGCAGGTCCTAACACTGACTGGTGGGGAACAGCATTGCCCGAAGGGCTTCATGCTTGGTGAAAAGCCACTGCCTGAGAGAACTGCTCTCAGAGCGCTGAGCAAGAATGTGACCTGACAGTTCCAGGTTCCCCCTCTGCTCTTCTTTTCCTGATGTCACCCCCGCCCCCCCCGTAGGGGATGTGGGAACTTGGACTCCTCAGTTCCCTCTCAGGATACTTCTCAGCAAAGAGAGACCCTGCCGTCTTGTCAGGAACCAGCTGCAGGAGCTGAGATGCTGGTGGGGGATATGCACCGTTGAGATCTGCAGAGGGAGGTCTCTTCATCACCTCCATGGAGCCCGCTGTCTTGCCTTCCAGGGCTGGATGGCTTAAGGAAGTGATTCCTTTGAGCATTTGGCCCAGTATTTTGATCTCCCAGGGTTTGCTTTCACCTCCATGGAGCCCGCTGTCTTGCCTTCGAGGGACAGCTGGATGGCTTAAGGAAGTGATTCCTTTGGCGGAAGCATTTGGCCCAGTATTTTGATCTCCCAGGGTTTGCTCTCTGAAGCTTCCAGACCTTGTCACTGAGGAGCTACCCCCATGCCCGGCCTCCTGGGGTTGCCCTCAGGGAGCCTCGGCCTAGCCCTCGGGTGAAGGCCTCCTGCCTCCTCCTTTGCTCTGTTTCCGATGCATTTTCCAGGGGCACTGAGACGTCTGGCCGTGGCTCTTGGCGCAGGTTGGCAGTTGGCCGGAGGAATGGCATCAGGGCCCCCTTTACCGCCCAACTTCCCAGGGCCTGGGAGGAGCCCGGCAGGGGGCTGAGGCCACCCATACACTCCTGGCGATGGGCTGACTCCCAACCTTGTTCCGTCTAGAGCAGGGGTGGACCCAGACAAGAGCAGTGTGGAGCGAGGGCATTCGGTTCCAAACGTGATTATGCAGTCCCCCATCCGGGAAGTTTCGTAGCAACAAATTTGTTGGGTTCTTTCTCCTCTCCAGTGGTTTAGAACCAAGCCAGCCTGGCAGGGCTGGCGCATACAAAGGGCTGTAATAAACATGCCCCGGGAACAGGCGGCTGCACTCTCCGGCTATTCAGCGCGATTTCACAGCCCCGCGAAGGCCTCATTATGGCGGGGGCTGTTGTCCTATACAAAGTCAGATGAGATGAATCTCTCTCTTTTCTCCCCAGAATGGTTTGTGAAGGATACGCGTCCTGGAATCTGTCAAAAGCTTAGGGGGTTTTGTTTACCATTTGTCTTCTTTATGGACCGGGGGGCACTTTTTCCTTTGGAGCCAGCAAAGAAGACGTTGCCGTTTAACCATTTCAGCCATGCCCCCATTTAAATGATATTAATTTATCATCTTCCCAAACCATCTGCGACGGATAAAGACATTCCGGGAGTCTCCCGTGAACCGCATCGCGATGAGAATTAAGAAATTAACCACCACATCTAGCGTCCTGCACAAAGGGCTTCGTTCCGTCTCACTGAGCAGCCTGTTTCTTTCGCTCTCTGCCCTGCCCCCTTCAAGTCCACGGTCAATGCTGCTGAATGAATGCAGGCTGCTGGGAAGGTGCGAGTCCCCAGAAGATGCAGGCGGTGGGAGCAGAGGAATGTAGGGTCCTCTCTCCTGGCCAGTGCACACCTGCTGCTCCCATCCACCCCCTGCCGCTCTGCCAGGGGTTGGGGAAGAAGCCAGCGCCTGGGGCCGCCCCTTGGCTCCCTGCCCACTGTGTGTAGCTTTCCATTTCTCTCCTTTCCCTGCTCATCAGGGCATCCTCAGTACAGCAGGTCCTTGAATAGCGTCACTTCCTTCAATGCCGTTTGTTATAATGTGGATGAGATGTTGTAGGAACTTCACTGGTTGATATCAGTTCGCCTTTAGTAAAATTTGGTTCTTTATACCTTATTTCACTTGAAGTTGCAGAAGCTATTGACAGTGTCTGTATCTTTTCTCCGACTTGTGCGGAGGGTCTCACCCTGGGCTGCACGTTGGAATCGCCTGGAGATTCGAAAATCCTGAGGCCTGAGTCCTACCCTCCAGAGATTCTGGTTTAATTCCTGGGCCAGGTGGGTCCTGGGAACCTGAAAAGCTTCCCAAGGTGGGTCAGATGTGCAGCCCAGGCCGAGAACCAGGGCCGTGGAAGAATAAGAAGGAGGACAGTGAGCGCTCTTGGGTTGAAAAAGGTGGCCTAGGCCCCGGGTTTATTCTTTTGAGGGGAGAGGCTTATCATCAGTGAATTTAAATGTCTTTTTCTTTATGCCTCTCTTGATGAAAACTGGGTGGAGGGGGTGTGTATTTAAAATTTTTAAATTTAAATCGTGCCAGGTGAGGCTGGGAGCTTAGCTAGGCAGCCGAAGTTCTAGTTTCCAGTGAGAGCATGGGATCGGGTGTGTGCACCCGTCTGTATGTCTGGACTTGATCACAGTCAAAGCAGAGCTAGGAACCTGGGGCCCCACCCCTTCCAGACTCTCAGGCAGGGTTCATGCACCCCACAAAAGCCTGAAAGCATCAGGAGTGCCCCTTCACTCTGTGGGTCCCTGGCCAGGTTTCCATTTCCTGTCATCACT